ATATATATATATATATATATATATATATATATATATATATATATATATATATATATATATATATATATATATATATATATATATATATATATATATATATATATATATATATATATATATATATATATATTAATTATTAAATGCACAAAATTAAATCGTGGCTTACCTAATTTTACATCTTTCTCTTTTTTACGTTCTCAGATCTCCGGTACAGATTTTCTCCACAGCACCGCCTCCGCCTGATTTCAAAAGCTTTGCCATCTCCTTTGTACTCTCATTCCAATTGTGTATTTTCTCCGCTTGGGCCATCCTCCGACATTGTACGACATTAAAGTTGTAGTGGTGGTTAGTAACAGACATTTCCACTCCAACTTCACCAAGTCGAATCTTCTCAGATCTTTGGAACTACAGTAAATTATGGGGTGTTTATCTTTGGAACTCCTCATATGTGTTTATTTTTCTTTTATTTGGGCTATTGTCGGAATTAGGGTATTATAGTTGGTAAATCTACAACCTCTATATCGTTTCATATTGGATTTTTTTTGCATCAAACTTCGTCAATTGATTTAGGGTTTTCGTTTCTCTGATTATTCTTAATTTAGCATTTTAGGGGAGATATATAGTAAATAGTATAGTAATATAGTTTGTTGTATGGAATAGCATTTGTAAGATAAGTTATATGCGTGAGATCTCTTATGTCTATTTTATGTAAGATGGAACAGAAAAGTTATATGTTCAAACTATTCTTTTTTTGATGGAATCGATTGACAAACTACTCTACTTGATGTGCAACGTATACGCTATAATTGTTTATCAACAATCAAATTGTTTGAGATATAAAAAATTATTTTCTATATAAAATAGAATGGATTACTCTGTCATAAAAATGTTTTCCTCTTACTTTGTTCTTCAGGTTTAGCATGGATAATTTGCCTTCCAAGTAGATTGTTTGAGACATGTTTTGAACCCACTGGAAAAAGGATTAATAACTATTTCAACCTTCGTTGAATTGAGGTGATCAAGAATGCATTAGAGCGTTCAATCTTCTTCGTTGTTATTTCATATTCTCTTGATATAAATTTTGTATCAGTGTATATATGTGTTTTATATCAGTGTGTATAGGGTTTATCTTCGAACCATGCACCTATCAGATAAGATCCTAAAGTTTAGGTTTAGGGTTTATCTTTGGGTTAAAGTTTGGTGATTTAAGTTTAGGATTTAGTATTTAGAAGGTGATGGGTATTGTTGGGGCCAACATTAACTTCTTCCATGAAATCATATACATTTCATAATTTCACCAATATGTACTATGTTATTTATTTTGATCCATTCCATCTGGGTTTAGGATTTATATTTGGTTTAGTGATTAGAGTTTAGGATTAGTAATTAGAAGGTGGAGAGATATGGTTAGGTCAACATTAACTTTTTCTATGTAATCATAGACATTTCATAAGTTCACCAATATGTACTATTTTATTTATTTTGTTCCATTTTATCTGGATTTTGGGTTTATAGTTTATATGTGTTTAAGGTTTAGGGATTAGAGTTTAGGGTTTAGTATTTAGAAGGTAAGGGATATGGTTAGGGTCAGCATTAACTTCTTCCATGAAATCATAGACATTGTTTCACCAATATATAGCATGCTATTTATTTTGTTCCATTCTATTTGGGTATATGGTTTATATTTGAGTTTAGGGTTTAGTGAATAGGGTGGAGGGTTTAGTGAATATAGTTTAGAGTTTAGTATTTAGAAGATTAGGGGTATGGTTGAGGTCAGCATCAACTTCTTCCATGAAATCATAGACATTGTTTCACCCTATATATACTGTGTTATTTATTAATTTTGTTCCATTCTGTTTGGATTTATATTTGGATAAGGCTTAGTTATTAAAGTTTAAGGTTTAGTATTTAGAAGACGAGGTAGTAGGATTGGGGTCATCATTATCTTCTTACATGCAATCATATAGCTTTCATAATTTCACCAATCTGTATTATGTTATTTAATTTGTTTCATTCTATTTGGATTTTGGGTTCATATTTGTGTTTATGATTTATATGTGGATTTATGATTTACTATTTAAGGATTGGGGAGAGATTGTGGTTATAATTAGTATCTATAGATTACGGAATGTTTAGTATATAGAGGTTATAGATGGAATTATAAGTAAATTATAATCGTATATTCTTTTAATGATATGGAATAGAACACTTGGTGTACATGTATGTTGACAATAAAAGTATATGTAAATCGTTCATCTTTCCTATACTACTTCGGCTATATAGAATAGAACCCTCAATATAGATATATGTGGTCAATAAACATATGTCGTAGATGGCTCATCTTTCTTTATCTCTTATCACGTATGTTGACTGGAAACTTGTTTAGGAAAAGAATAAAATCGGCTGAGAAGTGGTATAAATGTATGTATGTCAAAATCAATGCTACTTACCTAATTTACATTCCAAACATAGCTACTACGCAAATAAGCCCTTAATATTACTACTTCTCAATGAAGCTTTCATTATATCATAAAATTTCATCAACTGGATACAATATGGTTAAAAATCTCTCAACTAAAAAAACAATGTAAAAGATGGGATAAGTCCTAAGATAGAACATCTATAATATGTATCTTTGTATTTTGTGAAATTACATCCAATGTATACCACTTTTTCCCAAATTAAGTTAATACTTTAAATCACATACCATGATACCTTTGATGATAGATAATAAACTTGTTTGTTAATTTCATCATACTTTTTAGGTTTCCAACCAATTAACTCTAGTTTAAATATGTATAGTTAAATTTATTTGGTTATTAATGAATGGATCTAACAATAGATTTTTCTATCAGTGGATAGATATTATTATATCAACATTAATAAATTTTCATTAATATCTGCATCCTAGAACCAAATAAACATCATGAGAGAGAAAGGTAGTAAAAGTTAGAGAGAGAAAGAGAAAGAGAGAGAGTTGCGTCCGGCCGACAGCGAGGCTCCTCTAGCTACCCTCGGTCCGGCTTGTGATATTTTCTCGACTTGCTTGCAGGTTTGTTTTAAGTACCTTTGTTAGGAGCTTTAGATACTGTCGTTTTTTGTGGTTGCGCACCTATCTGCGGTGGTGGTCGTCCGACTTAGGATACCGGGAGCCGGTGGCTTCTTCAGCACCGCTATCATCAGCTTAGGATATCGTGAGGCGGTGGCTTCTTCTACACCGCTATCATCGGCTTAGGATATCGGGAGGCGGTGGCTTCTTCAGCACCGCTATCGTCGGCTTAGGATACCAGGAGGCGGTGGCTTCTTCAGCACCGCTATCGTGGGCTTAGGATAGCGGGAGGCGGTGGCTTCTTCTACACCACTATCGTTTGCTTAGGATATCGGGAAGCGGTGGCTTCTTCAGCACCGCTATCGTCAATTTAGGATACCGGGAGGCGGTGGCTTCTTCAGCACCGCTATCGTCGGCTTAGGATAGCGGGAGGCGGTGGCTTCTTCTGCACTGCTATCATCGGCTTATGATACCAAGCGGTGGTGACTTCTTCAGCATCGCTAGGGCCAGTTGGTTTCCTTGGGTTTATCTCGTTCTTGTCGTGGTGACTCCGCCTCTTGATCTAATATATGGTGCCGCTTGTAAATCGGAGATGGAGGATTGATTGTATGCGTTTAATTTCTATGGTGATTTCGTAATCTGTGTGGGTATGAGTGCTCATTGTTTGAGCTTTAATCTGAAGTTTGGTTGGTTTTCGTTCTGGATCTGACTGCGTCGTCAACGGAGCTGTTCTGAAACCGGAGAAAGAATGATGGCTTTCGCTAGGGCACCTTCTGTCTAAGGAGTTAGGATTTGAGTTGGGCCATACGTTAGTGTTTATTTGTTGGCCTTGCTTATTTGGGCCTGATTGTCAAATTGTTTTGGGCTTTATGTTGTAACAAACTTTTTTTAATAAATCAAGATGAAAAAAAAAAACAAATAAACATCAGTCAAAAAGAAGAATCAAACAGTAGATACACAAAATATTACTACTTCTGATTACTGTTTTGAACTAAGGAATCATCTAACAACAGAGGTTTGTAAGAACTCGGTTGTGAAAACTCTCTGTGCGTCGCTCAACAAAGAGAACCACTTGGTCACCAGATTGGCTGAAGCAGATGAGCTTTGGTCGCCACAATCCGGACGCATGGTGGCTTTGCCTTGGACGACTACCGAGAAATCCAGCTGAAGCGTCTTCAGGAGGGAGCTCACGGTTGCTATCTGGACTGAAAAACCAGCTTTTAGTGTTGTCTCACACTGCAGAAATGCTGACAGTTTCTCTCTCAAGTTTGAGACTCCTTCGTTTTCATAGCCACCAGCATTCACTCCAATACTACAAAATCCAAATAGAAATTTAAAAAGAGAATTGGACTTCTGTATAAGGAGACAAGCTGATAAGATGTTACCTGCTAAGTTGCCCAAGAAGAGAGACGATTTCAACGGAAAAGTTCATTGACAATGGCGTTCCAAGCATCTTAAGCAGTGGAGCAACAATGTTCTCAGTAGTCCATTCCCATTCCTACATTTATACATAAGAAAAGAAATGAACAAAACATTTGTGTGAAGGTTGGAAATGGCTTTGAACAATTCTTTGCAACATACCGAGTAACAAGCGATAACCTCCACCAGTGACAGAACGTCACATAAAGCAACACTTTGATCCCTGAACAGTATGCATTGAAAATCCTTGTGTGCCGGTCTAAACTCGCTCTTCTCGGTCAAACTCTGATGCAAAGTATTCGACTGAGTAAACTCTTGAATCATTTCCATGAGAATAGATGCCATAGCCTCAAGCGAGGAAGGTCTGTCTGAGAACCGACACTTGTTCTTGCCTGGGTGCAACTTAGCATTTTCCTCCTCACTACCAAAATCTTTCTTCTCTAAAAACATCACAATGGATTTCAACACTGCAATTGATATGCCATGGTCACTAGAGGGCATCATTTTCTCTCCAGCAATGTGAGCAAAAACGTGAAGAATGGTCAGTGGCATTGGAGTCTTCTCATGACTGTGCTTGCGCAGGATTTCAAAGGAAGCTTCACGGATAAATCCAACACGGTCCACTGCAGAACTTATCACCGCCAAAATAGCACTTCCAGCCACCAAATGATCAATAAGTGCGATTCTGCTGAAGAGAGTCATATTTTCTCCATTAAGGGTGACAGGGATGCTTAAATCAGATTCAGCAGCTTCTGATGATTTAACACAAAATAATATCCTCTGCTCGGAAAGGAAATTCTGAAGGAGACTAAGAAGTTCTTCCAAAATTTCAGATAGAATACCTCCAGCTTCAGTATCAGCCATAACTGCACAATAAAATTCCAAGTTCAATTTGATTTAAACATCAAATCAAAAGCAGATTGTAGTATTTGGTTTTGAGAAGATAAAAGAAAAGGAAAATGGATTCGAGACATACCACCATCTATATGCTTCGAGAAAGAGTCCAAGCAGGAGCAAAAATCATCATCCAGAATGTTCCCAATTTTCATCGAGGAAACCACTGAGAAGTTATGCAACAGCAAGGAGAGGAACACACATACCCTGTCCCTGAAAAGATGCAAGGAACATATTAGCGCCCAGACAACTAGTTTACTGATGGAATTGAAAAGGCATTATGTATATCAACATTATCCATTTAAAAAGCATCAGAAAGCATGAATAACTTACCGGGCCAAAAGGTTTTCTTCCAGTTTCAAAGAAAACAGAATTGCTGGCACTGCCCACTGTGCTGTAGTAACTGATGGGCAACGTTGAATACAATTGTTTGCAGCATGTAAAATTTTGATGATACCGTTCTGGTCTTCAATATTTGAAAACACAACCAAGTATTTAAGAATACCACCATGCACCGTCGTTGACATGGGTGGCATTTTGTCTGTCACCGAAGCAGTATGAGTGTTGGAATTAGAAGCTTCACTAGAATTTATGGATTCAACCAAGTACTTAAGAATACCACCATGCACCGTCGTTGACATGGGTGGCATTTTGTCTGTCACAGAAGTAGTATGAGTGTTGGAATTAGAAGCTTCACTAGAATCTATGGTATCACGTAAATTCACCCTACTTTTAGCAACCAAGTCAATAGCAGGATTCTGATTTTCATTCACGATCTGATCATCCAGAAAATCTACCTGAGGAAGATCTGGGGACATAAGTGATTCTCTTGCCATCTTGTAATGACTTTCATCTTCGGGTGTATCCAACTCCAGCAACTTCATACAATCTGTATCAGCAACGTCCTCCAAAAATGATGCTGCCGCAGCATGTCCTTTAGCAGTAGAGAGGCACAGATTTTTCCCAGCACCCTGTGTACTTCCAGCTTTATTGCCTTGGTTCTTGGCTGGGCGGTTAAGCTCAAGCGAGTTCCTCATAACTGTCTTTTTCTCACAAGAAATCCTTCTTTTCTTGGAAAGTTTAGTGTAATTTGCAGAGCCGCCACCTTGCAGGGTCTTGGCTAGGCGGGCCAAGGTTGTTTTCTTTTCTAAAGGCTGCAAGGGACTCAGCTTCACTCCAATCTGTAAATTTGTCTTTGTATCATCAGATGATAGATGCTTACGGGACTCAACTACCTCTGGCATTCTTTTTCTTTTTTGAGAGTGCTCATTAACTACCTCATGTTTATCTCTCTGACATCTTTGAAGACAGTTTTCAGCCACCAAACCGAGATTTCCATTTTTCCTGGTATCGATATTCTGGAACGTGTTTAATTTTGAGGGTTGGATATTCGCTGTATCTTTTGATGTTTCTGTTGAAGTAGTATCAGAGAACTGATGTGCTCCCTGTGAGGCCAGTAACTGCCCATCAGAACAAGATGTTGCGCTGGAAATTTCTCCAGAAGTCTGTAATTCACTAGAGTCTCGAGTAGGAGACTCCACTTGACAAATAGTACCTGATACAGACTCATACACGCCCTGTCTGGATTTTGCAATTAACTGAGTAGAGAGCTTGCGAGCCTGCTCCTGAGGACCAGAGCTTGCTACTAAAGGACACCTTGCGTCAGAATGCTTTTGAACTTTAAGGTTCTTCTGGGATTGTAGCATCTGCAGTTTCATGCGTTCCTCCACCTGCAAAGCAATACAATGAAGCATAAAAAGATTAGTAAGGAATTAATGATCTAGACAGCTAAGTATAAAAGCAATATTATAGATTCTGAATGATCCATGTTACGTTAGAAGCCACTATTTCAAAGTCAAAAACAGATTGAATATTCCCGCCTTATACAGTCAGATTATATGTCGCTAACAACTTCAACAGACTATAGCCTAAGTGCTCACTTAGAGAACTTCAACTGACAGCTTCAGCTAAGTTGAGAATGTTTGAGCGGCATGCATAAACTTAGGGATATTCTCTTAGAAAGCAGAAGATGTAAATAGACAATTTGATTCATTTTTATTTACCATGTCAATCACAAACCATCCATCGTGTAACCTAATGTCTGAAATCCGGAAACAAAGAAAGTATCCAATGTCAAAACATATATATGGTCTTCAAGCCAAATTTCTAATTATGATGAGAAGAAAATGTAGAGTAAGAAATTTATGGCATAACAAACCTTTGCAAGACCAGATGTACCTCCAACGCCTCTTGAAAACCTATCCAACAAATTCATGTGATTTGTAAAACTACCAAACTCAAGTTTTAACCGACTTATCTCCTCGGCCTGAAATTCCCTCAGGAATTTTTCAAACTCAGCCACCTTATCAGAGTGTTTTGCACATTTCTTCGCAAACTTCAGCTCTTTTTTCAAAAGCCTATCTTTAGCCTTTTTCAGATCTTTGGCTTTTTGACGCGAAACAGAGCAAGTCTCGGCGGATTTCAGAGAGAGTGATAGCTCAAGCACCTGTTTTTTCAAACCCTTAGTCACTAATTGTGCTTCTTGTAACTGCTGAGTCAAATCACCAGCACGAGCTTTCCAGGCCATGGCTTCTTTCGTATACATCTCAAGTAGCCTTTTCTCCTCTTCCAGTCTTGCCGAGTTTTCAGCAAACTTGACTTTGCTGCTAGCGCTCTGCAATTCTGCTTCTTTCTTGAGCTCTTCATTTCTAGCTCTAATAATTTCAAACTTCTTAGACAAATCTTCTGCCAGCTTCATCTGTTCCCTAGATTTTGCAGTCTCCATATCTGCACGTTTTCTCTCTTTCAGTGTCTTTTGTTTTTCAGACTCGAGCTGTTTTTTCACAGTCTCAAGATTGGATGTCAAAGTAAGCAGATCGGAACTAGTCTTATGAGCTGTAGCTCTTAAAACCTCCAACTCGGAAAGATACTGATTAGCTTTCGTTTTCTCTGATTCTGCTTTCTTCCTCTCTGACTCGGTCTTATGCCTCTCGCTTGCAAGAAGATTTTTAACCAGACTTATTTCCTTTTCCACCTCAGGAACGTGTGGCTTGATATCCTCATATTTCACCAGCAGAGCCTTCGTCTTGTTCAATTCTTTACAAATTTGTTCCCTCTCTTCTTCAGAATTATCAGCCCTTAATTTCTCTTTCGCAAGGAGGTTCTTCAGTTCATTGATCTCCTTTTCTCCACTAGAAGACTGAAGAAATTCTACTTCTTCACTTTTTTCGTGAAGCTTTCTTCGCTCCAATCTTTGTTGCAAAGACAATATCTGAGACTTCAAATCACAGATCTCCTTCTCCAAAGATGCTTTTGCCACTGAATCATTCTTCTGAGCGTCCCTGTTATCCGCCATCTCCCTAAGTTCTGTTAGATATAAGGTAAGCAGTTCAAAATCACAACGAGATTGAGAACTATCGTAATAAAAAGTATAAAACCATTATTCCACCCAACCAACCCACACACCAATTCTTAAACCACAAAGGACATATCACTAGTAGCTGCAAGTCAGATAATTCAGTTATAATCGCCAAAAATCATATCATTCGGTAAGAATTAATGCTACTCTTTTTTATTATGGCTAAGGGAAAAATATACCACGGCAAAATGAATCAGTAAGCTAACAACTGCCACTAGCTAATTCATATACTTTCGGTTACACTAACTAACACCGTTTCAAAGTCACATTCCATCTCTACCAAATCCAATATTCAACTTACCGTTCTGGAGATTGGCTTTCTCATCATTAGCGGCTCCCAAGGCCTTCTGGAGAATCTCTATGGCTTCTTTACAAGCATCACGCCTCTTCTTCATGCCTAGGTACTTCCCTTGCCACTGAGAAACATAGCCGAAAGGGATTAATAAGTAAAATCACAAAGGGATGAAAACATCTGATATTTCAGGAAAGATACGTACCGCGAGGCAGCAAGGGCTCCCTGAAGCCGAAGGCAACTCAGGTTGAGGATTAGACGCCATTTTGAGGAAACTCGAACGAGCTCTCACATGTATGGGAGAATAATCACCGTGGGACTAGGAAATTCGAAAATCTAAAACCCTAATTTCAGTGGGAAGAAGGTTGCAGAGTTCGTGACGAAGGTAGAGTCAGAGACCGCCAGCACTTGGATCTCGGGGCGGGGCGGGGCGGGTCAGTGAAATCTTCTAACCAGGCCCAGCCGAATAAGTTTCTGTTATTTTCAGCTTATTTTAAATTTTCATTTTAATTTATAGTTTAACTTTGTTGCCAAAAAAAAAGTTTTTATGATATAACGCTAATATATATATATATACTAGTGGTTTTCCCGGGCTACGCCCGGGTTTTCTTATATAACTTTTAGTTTAATTTCATTTATTATATTAATTTTGAATATATATAATACCTATATATCGATTTTTAAAAATATAAATCATAAAATGAAGTTTAAATTATTAAATTGTAAACGAACTAATATTTACAGTATATGTTACATGCTTTTGTTTTAATTATGCTAAGATTTTAAATAAATTTACATGATATTTGATCAAAAACTGTAATGTCTAGATGTGATTGCTTGGTTATTGTTTGATGAACTATTTTTTGACAAGCTGATGTATTTAATAATGTCTTTGTATAGGTAATGGTTTTATTCTTCAAACTTTTGACAATGTCTATTATAGTATTTTTGAATAAAATTTTGTTTTTGATGTTGAAGCGAGTAATATTTTTCTCCAATTTAGTGAACAAAAAACTATAAAATATCATACCTGATAATTCAAATTTATATAAATTTATATTTATGAGTTTTGTTTAAATTTTCAAAAAAAAAATTGAAAAAAAAATTTTAAATTTATTTTTGCCAACAATCGTATATTAAAGTAGTGTATATTAAATTTTGTAATATAATCATTCATAACTACAATAATGCTACTATACTGAGTCTATAATACTTGATAGTTTTAAACAAAATTATATACTGAACTTTTTGTAAGCTTACATGCATTACAGATGCTTGCATGACTTTTTGATAATTAATACAATTTTGATTCTTGAATAATTATAGTAAACATGTGATAACATTTGGTGGGGGTTATTGATTCCACTATTTAATGGATTTAGAGAAACATTTGGATTTAGAAATCTTTGATAAATCATATGATTTAAAATCGAGCAAATAGATTTAAGAATCAAATATATTGATTTCAAATGAAAATATCTTTTTACGAAAATCAAGGATATCCAAATTTTAATAAATAATATGATTTTAATATCGAGCAAATAGATTTAAGAATCAAGGATGTTGATTTCAAAATGATTTTAATTTTTCGGTTCATTTTGTTTTTTACTTTCGGTTTTAGAATTGTTGTGTAATTCATTTTTTCGTCGTTTTGGTTAAACTCTTGTTGGAGCTTTTTCTTTTCTTTTAAACTCTCATTTTACGGAAATATTTTGGAAATCAAGGATATTGATTTCAAAATGAAAATAGATCTAAGAATCAAGAATATTGATTTTAAAATCGAGCAAATAGATTTAAGAATCAAGGATATTTATTTAGATATTTCATATTTAGAGATATGAAAGTTCTCATCCATCTTGAATAATAGGTTGAAAGTGAGAAAGTTCTTTTTTTTTTAATTTACGGGACTAAAACTATTTATTAAAAATCATATCATTTGTAAAAATCAATAAAAATTCAAATAAAATAAAAGATTTTTATAATTGGACCTAAAACACTTTCAACAAATGATAGAATGACAAGTATCATCTTTTGCCTCTATGAAGAGAAAAAAATCTACTTTACTATATAAGAGATGTATAAATATTTATTTTAGAAAAACTTTAGAAATATTTTATAAATAATAAATCATATATCACCATTACAATATAAATGCATATACATTATTAATAAAAAATAAAATAAATATAAGTACATTGTAAAAAAAATCACATTAACTTAGATATCTCATTTGTTCATAAATAAGAATATATATTAAAATTATTTGTATATTTTTGTTAAAATAGAAAACTAAAAAAATAATAATGAAATAGAAAATTTCTTTTAATTAATGTTTAAATTTTTATTAGCATTTATTGGTTCATTAAGTAAACTAAAATTTGTTACATACAATAAATATAAAAATATCATTAAAAGAAGGTGACACATGGCATTTTTCCCCCTAAGAAGTGAAAAAAGCAATTTTTATTAGCATTTATTGGTTCATTAAGTAAACTAAAATTTGTTACATACAATAAATATAAAAATATCATTAAAAGAAGGTGACACATGGCATTTTTCCCCCTAAGAAGTGAAAAAAGCCAACTTTATTATATAAGATATATATATATTATTAAAATTATTTTAGTGACAAAACAATTTTATTTGTTCTCAGTTTCGATGATGAAAAATTGAATCATATCCAATTTAGATGAATGAATTTGAATAAAATAAAGGACAATTTAGCTGGAAAACCATGAAAGATTACAATATTAGCAGAATACCAAAGAGAAGAAAGCGGTTGTATACGTGGCACATGAAAAAGTGATAGAAATATGAAAATATTATGCGCGTTGGACTTCTCACCTTCCCGATTTTGAACTTCGGTAGTTGTGTCTAACACAAGATCATCACTAGATTTGGCAAGATAAGAATGAGATTTCGTTTACATTGGCTATGAAAAAAATGGGGAGATTGTGATATGTTTCTCTCCTTTTTAAAATCTCTGTGTTAATCAATGAGCAAGATTTATCATTCAAAATCTTAGCATGTTAAATACTTTGAAACAATAAATCACAAGAAAAATATTTTTTTTTGTTATTTTGAAATTGTTAGCTATATGTGTAAAAGTATATTAGCCGAACAATAGTTCTGATGCAGAATGTATATATATTAGCCAGGCAACTGTTTTGAAAATTTGGTTGTGTACTAGTCTTCATTCTTTAGCTAGCCAATTAAAATAAATATCTGTAATTTAATCAAATATATTGTTGTACAATTTAGAATACAAGCACGGGTTAATAATATGATCCAAGCAATAGGGTCCGCCAACAATAATTAGATGTAGAATATTTACAAAAATAATTGGCTAATCTAATAAGTTATCGTATTTGATGTATCTTAACTGGTTAATCTAATAAGTCTATGTATCCGATGTTTTGTAACCGGCTAATCTAAATTGTATAAATCAGTTATAGATGTCCAGTTTTCCTTGTGGATGGTTACCACATTTTTGGATGGTTAACGCATTTAATGAACATCTAACTAATATATTAACTATAAATTATCATATCCCTACGTTCAATAGTTTTAACCATAAACTGAAACCCCTACTCCAACAGTGTATGATATAAGATTTCTTGCTAATTTTGTAGTTAGATGTGTAACTTGTTTGATAGCTTGTTAATGGTAATGAGAAATTCAATTTTTAGTTATCCAAAATTTATTGTTATAGTATAATAATTTTTATGATTGTCTATTAAATAAAGTTTACGGTTAACAGTTTTGCGAACTGGTAATAAATTTAATTATCCATCCAAACAGAGAGTTGCAGGTTCCTCGATTTGGCTTGGCTTTGACGGGATTCTAAAGGAAAGGTCTTTTCAGAGTAAACTCTTCATCAAACAAACCGAATCATATTTATTTTTTTCACTGATAGTAGACACACAAACAGTTGTGATAAGATGTATGTACTTTGGAGAATGAGTAACACGTTAGATTTCGTTTACTTGTGGTATGGAGTGACCTTGACGCCGGTGGATTCTTCTCCGACGGCGAAAATCTTTCAGAGAGTGGACATAGTGGCCTCCGCGAACCATCGTCCTCATCCACATCCACACGCTGATTGAATTTAACTAAATTTAATTGGGGAAGAAGAGAAACAGTGAACTTCGGATGAAATTATCTTCTTTTTTTTAACTTATTTTGTTTTTTTGTTCACTGCGCCAAAAGCACTAACAAAAAAAGATATGGTATATCTTGCGTATCTACTACTTCTCTCTCTTCGATTCTATTGTCTACCTATAATTCTCATTTGTCAGGTGAGAGGTTTAATTAGAGAAGGGTAGCAGAGTAACTAAACAGCATGAATAGTCGACGATTTTTATGTCTTTGGTATTTTGCAAATTACGGTAAAAAGTTTTGATATGGAAGCAAATTTCTCTAAAATAAAAAGAAAACCCATAATTAAATATTAAAATTAAGTTTCTCATATATAATGTAAATTTTGAAAGGCATAATATTTTTTCATTTTTTTCTCAACATAGTTCACCTATTTATTCTAAAATAAATTCATTTAATTGTCTCTTTTTTATATGGAATCTACTATTATTAAAAGCTCTAAATAAGAGCATATGAGGGTGTCCACGTTGACAATAAAAATCAACCAATTAGAACATTTCATTTAGCTACGTCACAATTGATTTGTGTTTTTTGGGCTTTTGTTTTTTTAGATCTGTTTCTTTTGATTCTCTTGGCCCATTAAAACCCCTAAAATCTGAGCCATAGACGAAGAATCCCGTCTCCTTTCGTGTTTCGTCGTTTCCTCTTCTCTAATTGATCCTAGATCAATCGATACACTGCTCCATCTCTGTGTAATCAAGCCTCCGAAAATCTCATAAATAACCTAATCCATAAAGCCTCGACTTCTCCTCTGCCACCTTCACTTTCTTTACCAATCAGATTTTGTTTACCAAACAGTGATAGTATCATTCTCTATTTTGTAGAATTGAGTAATTGGATTGAAAAAGTTCAGTTTTTTTTTTTGTCTCTGATGTTTATTTTCTTTTTTTTTTTAATTCTCTGTAGCAACAATGGCTGATGAAACAATGAGATAAAGGAGGTGAAGGATGATTAAGAAGCAAGTCGTTGTGTAAGAGATCCTTTCATATTACAATAGCACTCAAGTTAAAATTTGGTCTTTTTAAGTTGTTTGTCTGATTCGGTTTTAATTTTCTTGCTCATCTTAAGCTTGCACCATCTGTGACCCAACCAACAAGAAAAAAAAAAGTTGTCATTTTGAAGCGATTGACGAATTTTTAAATCATCATCAGTCGAATTTTAGGTGAATTAATGGTTAAAGGTGGAAACTTTGGGGATGTTTTGTGTTGTTACAAGCAGAGATGTGATTTGGTTTTTTGGTCATTATGCAGATTCAGTTAGTCCTGGAGATGTTGGGCTTGAAGAGGAAGCTCAAGATGATGATAGAGGCTATGGAGTCTCTGGGGTTAACCGTGTCAACAGAGTATGAAGATGGGATCAGCCGATCACATTCTTAGACATTCATGAGTGTGATACTTTTACAGTATTTATTAAGATTGTTACTGGATGCTATAATCAAGAAACCTAATTATATGTTTTTTTTCCATGAGTGTGATACTTTTACAGTAAGTATCTTTTAAGATTGTTACTGGATGCTATAATTAAGAAACCTAATTATATGTTTTTTTTTCCTTTCAGATGTGTATCTTCCGCTTCCCAACATCTTCAGTGATTCCGTTGCATGACCATCCAGAGATGACTGTTCAGCAAAATCCTATATGGACCACTTCACGTTAAAGCGTATGATTGGGTCGAACCTCCATGTCTTGTCACACAAGAAAAATCTCAAGGTTATCGTTTTTATTTTCCTTCTCATCTCTGTGTCTAATGGTCTCATTTGTGTTGATTGATAATTTAAGAACTCTTTGCAACTACTTGTAGCAGCAAGATTGGCGAAACTGGTTAAAGACAAAGTTGTAACGCCACAGTCTGAACTACCGGTGTTGTAGCCAAAGACTGGAGGCAATCTCCATTGTTTCACTGCGCTGACTCCATGTACTGTTCTCGACATTCTCACACCTCCTTACAATGAAAGCCTTGGCAGGTCTTGCAGTTACTACATGGACTATCCTTTCTCCACTTTTGGTATATGCTAACTTTCTCTTCTTTTGCCAGTTTCTCCTCTTTAGAACAACATTAAGTTACTCTTTGGATTGATGTTTAAAATCTCATAGGTAAAGAAAAACGACCTTCGTTTCCGTACCAAGAGCACAATACACAGAAACTGAGTTTTGCAGTTGAATTATAGAAAGATTCAGCTCTCAGGTCTTAACCGCTCAATCCTAAATGCTCGAATGAATCACCTAGATTTATTATCAATCTGTCAGGCTGCGTTGATAAGGGATTTTTAAATGAAGCCAGAAAATTTTTGTGAGCGGTTTCAAGCTTCTCCAAGGGGAGAGTACTAAATAAGAATTGGTTTTGTATTTTACTTGTGTTCGTTGTTTTTGTATGATTGTATCATCCCACCTTTATGTTACAAGAGGTTTTTAATGTGATTTTATTATAATTTCCAGGTTCATGAGTTTGAATTTTTCATCTAAGTGACAGCAAATTACTTTGACATATCTCTTCTTCTTCATTGAGAATCTCCAATAGAAATTATTCATTAGATGAATCATTTTAAGCACTTATAGCACACAAAAACAAATTAAGAAGAGTCGCTAAATGTCACTAAACACGAAAAGTAACGAGTCAAGGAACTCAGTAGATGAAACCGCCCACCAGAGCCACAGTGGCTACGGCCAACAACAAAAAATGACGGCAGAGTTTGGAGTCTTTGAATTGTTATTGTCATTGTTGTATTGAGCGGAGACCATGGCAGTCATCAATGCCAACACAAGACAAGCCAAAGTCATGTGAACAAATATACATTTTTACTGTTTTGTTTGATGTATGAAAAATATACATTTTTTCCAATCATTTTGTTTGCCAGCTTGATCAAGAACGCGATTCTTGATTAGTTTTGTTGATCATACTTCCACGGTAGTTTGGAAATGAAAGACACATCCATTGTCTACTGAGAAATAGTTTGGAAGTTGTGAAAGCAACGAAGGGAAAGTCAAAAGCCTAATTCGATCAAATTATCCATCAGAAATTTTATAGAAAAAGACAGAAATTGTATAATAAGTTACAGATAAAACAAGAAAATAACATTTAAACTTTTTAAAAATATTCCAGTTTCTAATAAAAATATAATAAATCAGTTACAAATAATTAATATAATAAATTACCAAAATTAAGAACTTAATAAATATAAAAAATGTTTTGAAGTAAAGTTTAGTGTAATGGTTGGAGATGAAAAATAAAATTTTACACCAAATTTTATGTCAAGGTGGAAAATGCTCCCAATAATGTTGTTTTATTTAATTTTTATGGATTATGACACCTTTTATTTTTATCTTCTACAGAATAGTTTTATTTAGTTACAAAAAGAATTTGACTGAAAATTTGTATTACTGGAGAGACTATTAAACAATATAAATTATACTTTTACATTTAGCATTTAGACAAAAAAAAATAAGTTTACTCATTTTCAATAACTTTTCGCACTAAATTATATGTTTCAAGATATGGTCTCTTATCAACTAAAAAGCATTATAGTAACAATGCTTTCACAATTATCATACGGATAGATACCTTAAGAAACAAAAATAAAATGAAGACTGCACATTTCTAAAACAAAATTCGGAGGTACAATATTATTTTTATGTCATATTGATTCAACATAACTAAATAGATAATTTCATATAATTAATAATAGATTTATTGTGTGAACAAATTCTAGAATAATTTTTAAAAACACTTTAAAAGAAACGTAGAAAATGATAAATAATAAAATAAAAACAATATAAAAATAAAAAATATGTTTAAGAAATATAATATTATTTTTTATGATAATTGATGTTATATATTATCAAATTTTGTTTTACTCAATTCAATATTTCACTATCAAACATTGACTATTTTCTAAAAAGATGTTATATCAAATGCAACAATTTATAAACATGTAAAAATTGATAATTTTCAAAACATGTTATCCGCGCGTAGCGCGGAAAAAGTATCTAGTTATTCATAATAGTTGAAACTTGAAATCTGAAATTTTGAGTTAGGTGGTGGATATTCGCATTACACGTTAGTAAATATTTTCGATTGCTTTCACTGAAAAACACACCAAAACTATTAAGTAGGATGTGAAGCATTAATTTACATCAACAGCGATCCAAATAAAACCTCAGACAAGCATCTCAAAACTCATGAGGGATGATGATCAATAATTTAAGATTTAACTGTGTTGCAAATATCCTTTTCGTTTTGCAATCTTAGTACACTACTGCTCTCTTTTAGGGGCTTTTGTGGTGGGTAGTGTCCCAAACACTATGTCCCATAGCGACGATGTTATACCAAATCCCTTGTCTTGAATCCTGAAGTGATGATTCAAATGATATTTCTGCACAAATCATTACAAAACATAAACTCTCAGTAAGGTCTGGATACAAAAGAGAAGAAAGGTTTAGCCTGGTTTTACCTTGAGGTTTTTGGTCACTGCTCTAGTTGGTTGTGCATGGTGAAGGTAGTAGTGAGTAACATCATACATCACATACCCAAGCATACCGCCTCCAAACAACGCAGGTGTGGTTGAAGGAGTTGCGAAAAGCTTCACAATGTTCCAGAACTGTGACACAAGACAAGAAGACAATTTAAGGCTTTTTTGGGGTGAAAACAGGAATAATGGTGGGACAATGTAGTAGATGATGATGATGATCAAAAATGCTTACAGGAAAGCATAAAATCGCTGTTGCAGTAGGAGGAAAGACGAGTCGAAGGTGGTCCATTGGGTGCTTGTGATGGCATCCGTGAAGAAGATAGTGTGCCGTGTTTCCCCTGGAATGGTTCCACAATAACATTAAGATGATTCATAGTGACTACTAATGTATATGAAATGTAACATACTGAGATAAAATAAAGAGTGTGTGACGAACCAGTAACTCTTGGTCTTGATGTGGAAAAGGAAGCGGTGAAGAGTATATTCTATAAACGTCCAGATAAATACCCCCAAGGCTATCAATGGGACGATTTCTGGAAGTGAAAGGCCCATTATTACTGACTTGGAGATGCACCAGCCTGCAACAGGCAACCAAATTACAGGAACCACCCACCATCTTGTAAGGGTCAAGAACTGTTCCATTGCAAGTGTGTCAGAGAATGGAGATCAGAGGCTTATTGACATTGCCAATTATTGAAGAAACTTATATACCTCCCAAAAGTCACTGTGGAAAAACCGAGGTCCTTCTTTTGTCACAATGGGTTGGTGAACCCATTCCTCATAAGCCTCACCAAGATGACCAACCTGTTAAACATCCAAAGAAATGGCAAGAGGGGTCAGGGTGATTAGGGAAACGTTAACATAAACTATTTAAATGCTTCGGAAACAGTGTTTACCTGAAATACAAGAGGCTTATCAAGATCCACAGTGAACCCTTGAGCAACCATTTTGCAAACCTTTTACTGAACTGAAAAAAAAATAAAAAGAATATCAAGAAAAAAGACAAACATGTTGCAACACCCTTACGTCACTTTAGTTCTTTCAAAGAAGAACGCATGGTGAGCGACATAATGAAACAGTTGATGTCAGCTTCTTCAACAGGCCAAGTATATCAAATGTACAAAATTCTCTTCACTAGTCGTGGATCTTATGCATCACTTCTTATTTATAGAAAAAAACAACATGGGTTCTGTTGTTTGATAACTTAGTTAAGCTTTGCTGTTCTTGAATATGATATCCAGATTACGTATACAATTATACTACTGAGATACTGGCCCCCACAACAGCCAAAAGAATATGAAATCATAGCACAAAAGCAAGTGTTAGTTGAAATCCAAATGAAATACAAACTATTAACCAATTAAAAAATTATAAGATACGATACAGCTTATATGTGCTTGTCACTCCAACGACCCCACATTATCAAATCAAGTCATAGATGAACACATCAAGCAAACAAAACACACAGCTCACTAGCTGCCGTTACCAAACATGACTTCGTGGTTGTTGATTTAAGAAACATAATCTAAAATCTTCTTAGCCTGGCAAGAACCAATGGAAAAAAAACAAAAAACAAAATTCCAGACACATCTTTTTTCTAACAAGAATGTCCAAAAAAATGTATAATCAAGTTAAAGAAAGACTTATGATGTGTCTTTGTCCGAATGTTAAAGCAAAAAGTTCCGATCTAAACACTTAAAACACAGAATCAAATCAAACAACTTAGCTATTCGAGATTCCATGGAAATCTATGAATCGACGAACGAAAAGAAGAGAAGAGAAGAGGATAGAAGCAACGAACCTAATCGATAAATGCCGGATCTCAACGACTCTTTGAGGAAATGACAGCCGCCGAGAACTGCCGAAGAATTTATACGCCTCCCTCTCTCTATTTTTGGTGGGTCGTGTGTACTTGTGTTTTGTTGTTGGGGTTGAATGGTACTAGTATTTTGATAAGGACAACAAAAAGGTCGGTAATAAATCTTCTAGAGAGGCTTTATCGAATCTGGACCGTTGGTTTTTGGAGAAAGGCCTTAGATCTCGGAGAAGACTTTAAAAAAGCCAACGTTTCGTTGAATTTTCGAAAGTATTTAAACCAACGGATGTGCCAGGTTGTTTCTCTTTTCTTACATTAGCTGTATGTGTTTCCACCACACTTGTGATGATTCCAAAAGTTGCACACTACTGGTTTTGATTTTTAGTTTTCCTTCCGGAATTTACACATTGTCAAACGATTTTGTTGACTAACTTTTATTGGATGTATGATGTATCCTACATCAAGACTATTATGAGAATATTTGGACATACTATTACATTCTAGACTCAAGGAATGTAGTTGACCCTAACTTAATTCAAACTCCTTTGGTAAGTATACTTTTAGCCGCCAGAATAGTATTCTTAGGTGTGCTTGGAAAAGATGCATATCTTTGTCATAATACTAGAATCATTGGTCATTACATATGATGTGTGAAAGCCAAACAAAATAAGCGATTCGATCTGAGTCCTAGATTATATAATGGGTAAAAGAAGGTAAGTTTTTCTCTCTTCTTTTTTTTTTGTTGATGGTCAAATACACCAATACCCTTTCATTACCTCTCTCTTTTTTTTTTTTTTCAGGTGGATTAGTGTTTTCATTTATTTGAAAATTCAAAATCCATTTTTTATTTAATTATTTTAATCTAAACCAAACAAGTAAAAAAAGTCACTTTATCTATATCTTATCTCTAAACTAAAACAACAAATAGAAGGTGCGGTGGTGAAAGAAAATGATATAGCTCCGGCAACAATACATAATCCGTATAAGTTGCAGAGATAATGAGATTGAGTACTCATCAATCTCATATAAACAAATGGTGTTGTAATTTTTTATTTGGGAGTATGTGTGCTTGGGTAGGGTTTCAGGTGTACCATTCCTTGGGAGGTAGAAGTGGATCTGGGACATGAACTATTTTTTTTATTCATCTACACCTCCACATGAACCACCGTAAAAAGAATACACAAAAACAACTACAACCATAGCTACAATGAGTCAGTTTTAAGTCTCTAGCTTGACTTTGCCTCAAGAGGATTAGGCTGAGGTGAGATCGGAAAGTGGAATCGAAGTTCCATCTTCCTTAGGTGTTGTAGTCATGTAAAGCTTAACTCTCTACCCATTGACTGTGAAATCCTTGCCATCAGCACTCCACAGAACTATTGCACCATATGGTCTAACCTCTTTAACTTTGAATGGACCTAACCACCTTGACTTGAGCTTTCCTGGAAACAACTTCAGCCTAGAGTTGTAGAGAAGTACTTGATCCCCTTCCTTGAACTCTCTCTTCAAAATGTTCTTGTCATGGAAGGCCTTGGTTCTCTCCTTGTAGATCCTTGAGTTCTCAAAAGCATCCATTCTTATCTCATCAAGCTCCTGTAGTTGGAGAAGTCTCTTCTCCTTAGCACTCTTGATGTCATAGTTCAGCAACTTGACTTCCCATAATGACTTGTACTCAAGCTCTACTGGCAAGTGACAAGCCTTCCCATACACAAGATTGAAAGGTGTAGTATCCAAAGGAGTCTTGTAAGCTGTCCTATAAGCCCAAAGTGCGTCATCAAGCTTATTAGACCAATCTTTTCTTGTAACTCCCACAATCTTCTCCAAAATGGACTTGATTTCTCTGTTGGAAACCTCAACTTGGCCACTAGTCTGGGGATGGTAAGGAGTTGCCACTTTATGCTTCACACCATTCTTCTTGAGAAGTGTTT